CATATTTCTTAACTATCTGACGTGTTTTTTTCCTGCTTCTGGAAACTAATTGTTCCTTTAAAAAAACCCCCAACCACCCCAGACTATTAAGGAGACAAACAGTGCGTTTTGGGGGCTGCCTGATACCAAATGCGGTCCTTCTTTGAGGGGGGGGGGGGTTGCAAAAATGCAACCTGGCAACAAAATGTATGTGGGACCCCCCTCAGAAATCAGTCGGGGTGCAATAGGGGGGCAGCTAAAACTGGAGGGGGGGTGTGTTTCATGTGTGATCCACATAGGCAGGGACACGGCTTTGATGAGGGGCTGCACTCGTGGCACCGCATGGCCAGGCTGGGGGAGCCGCGTGGGGGGCGGGGGGAGGGGACGACCCCGAGGACGGTGAGGCGGGGGCAAGGGGTGCGGCGGGGCAAGGGGAGGGAATGGGGGCGCGGGCGCGGCCTATCGCGGTCCCCACGTGGGGCCGGGCCCCGAGGAGCCTGCGCGGCGGCCCTGTCCCCTCCTAGCTGCCCCGGTGCAGCCTGTCTCGTCCCCGTCCGCACGCACTGTGCCTAGCGTGGCCATCACACAGGACAGCCCGGGTGTCTGTGCTCTATTCATACGAAACCTGACCCCTTTCTGTCGTCTTGAAGAGAAAAATAGAGCATGGCCCAAATCCACCTCCTTCCCATACGAGTTTCTTCAAAGCCATTGTGTCCCTTCCATTCCCGTGGACGCACGGCGCCAGAGCAAAATAACGCAGCGGTGGGAGACATTAATAAAAGCTTTGATTGTTTTCAGTTTTCTGATGCCATTATTTTCCTGTCCCCCCTCTGGTTTTCCGTCTCCTTTCTCAGGCACTTGGCCTGCACTAGTAAGAAAATTAAACGTTAACGGCGATGGTGTGCAGTAGCCCCGTTGCTGCGTCTCCATTAGGTACGAGGAGAGCCGTCGGGCTGCGCCAGAAAGGCCGTGTTTGCGTCCGTTACTATTTGAGGCTTGAGAAATAATATGGATAATTTATACCGTAAACCTCTTAGCCGAAGAGAAGAAGATGAGCGAACACGTATACCAATGCAGGCCTGGGGCAATTGATTGGTGAGAAGGCTAGCCCGGCCACATATATCTTTAGAGAAAAGGAGGGGCTGGAAAGGCCCTAAAGCCATGCCAACATCAGGTTTAATAGTGCCTTATGTCTTCTTGTCCCTGAGGAAAGGGTTTATGCCACTTCTCTTGCCACCCAGTCCCAAGGCTGCCTGCGTCTCTAACCTGCTCTCCAATGAGTCTCCCATTTTGGATCTTTCCTTCCGTTTTGGACCTTTCTCTCTTATGAGTAGCTCAAGGTGCTGCCTCAGCTCTTGTTTTGCCAAGCAGGAGGGGAGTTCAGGTTTTATCTACCCCGGTAGCAGAAAAAGACGCGCGTCCCCACTCACAGGCTCTCTGCAGGCAGAGTAACACCATCTCCCCCAGCAAAAGAAGACTTCTGCCGGCTGCTGTGGTCCTTTAGCAGCTGGTGCCTTCCCAGGTGCTCGTCACACTCTGCTGGCACAGCTGCTACATACAGTGGAGCCATGGGGAGCCATGCAGATGTGAAACAGCTGTGGTGATTTGCTGTCTGCTGCCAAAAGTTTTGATGGCAAAAGCAGCTTGGTACAGACAAGGTCTCCTTTAACTGAATATACTTGATATGTATTTGTCTTCACTGCTACTCCTAATCTCAATGTGAGCCATAAAACTGATGGGAGACGTTATTTTCACCTCCCCCAGCTTGGGGAAGGGTCTGTCCATCAGTTATAGTCCTGGTCTGTACCTAAAAGGCCTGGTATAGCTCCGTTGGCTGCGAGTGTGAATAAATCGTGCCCCCAGCTGTATAGTCCAAAGCTGTAGGATAGACATAGTTGTACAGTAAAAGACTATTTTGACTAGTGTAGGTCTGGTTTAAGATGCTGATATAAGCTATGTGAATGTGCCAGCAAGGGCCTGTAGTGCAGAGATCACACATGTCATGTGCTAACACTGTAATCCCTTTCAGGTAGGCCCGTTTTTATTATGCCGATTTGGTATCTAGCAGAGTGGAACCCTGATCCTTGACTGATTGATAGACAATAACACCATAAGCATCGATCAGGAATTGCTACTAAACTTAAACCATATTTTAAGAAAAGTTTCAAGTCTTCCCAGACAGAGGAGAAATGTGGTCCTTTACTGATATAGCTGTGCTGGTGGGCACTTCCCTTGTAGATGCAGTTAGCAGAGATGCAGATTGAAATTTTGGTTTGCTTATTGTGGGTTGGTGCCCCTGTACCAAAACACTCTCTACCCCCTCTTGCCCCCCCCACCCAAAAAACAAAACAAAACAAAACAGCTTTAGCGGTATAGCTGCATTCACCCTGGAAGTACTTTACTGCTGTACTATGCTGGCATTCCTCTGCTGATTGAGCCCTCCTAGTGAAGACAAGGCAGTGCGTATAGGAGACAAATGGAGTAAGAGGAGGCCAGGAGGATGAGTTGACTTAACATGTCTAGCGCCTTAAATTGGAGCACCTGAGCTGCCTAGGCTACTACTTAGTATACTCAAGACAAATGAATGTTTCCTGCTACCTTAATCTCAAGTTTTCTGCGTGCCTCTGTTTTGCCTCTAGGAAGAGTGCAGTTTTTGAGAAATTAGTTGCTGGCAGAGTAACATGACATGAAAGTCCCTTTTTAATTTCTAAAGTGATACCTGCCATTTCCTCCTGCATCCATCCCAAAACACCAGTACAGAGTGTCTTCAATAGCCAACTAAGCCAAGGATTTCTGGCCTGTCTCCATGACCCAAGTTATTGTTTTCAGACACAGTTCTGAAGAGTTGAGGTTAGCTATCGCAGTGCTTGGTGCCATTGGCCTGGTATAGCCTGACTGGTGTGCCATGGTCAGCATGGAGTCTGTTAACTTGACTCGTACTGTTGTGTGTGACAGTAATACCCTGTCAGGCTGACACAATCTCATTAACCATTGAGAAACCAAGTAGGGTGTGATTTTATGTTTTTTCTGATTCTGAAGGAATGAGTTCTTGCGTCTGACCTTGTGTTTGCCCAACATCAGTTCTTGGATGTTCCTGCCATGGGACCTGCATATGTGGCCTTGCAGGTTCTCTGGTACCTGTCCTCTGTCCAGTTTCTCTCTTGTATCAAAGCCCATTGCCCTGGTGCCAGGTGCCTTGCCCTCTTGTCACAGAGGGTGAAGGCAGGCTGAACGGTTGTAGCTTTTTCTGGAAAGTACTGTAGTTGTGTGTTTGTGGCTTAGTGAATAGTGTGATGAGAGGCCCCAGTTCTGCCCTTGCCCTCTGTGGGACCTTAAACAAATCATTCACTTCTTTCCCCTTTATCTCTCTTCTGCCTTGCCTGTTTTGACTTCAGGTTCTGCAGGGCAGGGACCATCTCTTACTATGAGTCTGTATAGCTCCAGATTTAAGCAGGTGTCCCTGTTGTGCTTGGAGCTTGTAGCCCATAGCATAATGCACAGAGTTAATATATTCTATATGAGTTAGGTGCAGCCTTCCAGCTCCAGGTAACAACACAACCCTTATTTTTGCAGAAATGTGTAAGCTGCTTTGTTTTAATACATAACACCTCCTTTAAAGATCTCAACCAGCATATTACGTAACTCTTTGGTGTGATGTGTTGCACATACTTTGTGCTGGCTGACATTGCAAGCAAATATGTGAGTGAAATTCATTTAATTGCAAGGGTGAAGTACCGGGTTTTAAGAAGTGCCTTAGGCCTTCTGCTGTGTGTGGGAGTGAGTTTCCCTGAAAATAAGAAGCCTGCAGAACTTACTGTCTTTGTGCTTTCAATAGAAGGATGACTTTCCAACCAAGCAGGCCCAGGGAAACTCCTGATTTTTCTTTCACAGTTTGCAGTTCAGTGCCTGCTTGAGAATAAGACATTGCATCCCCTGTGGCTTGTGTTTTTTTTCCCTTTCCCTACACCCAAGTAAACAATTTACATAAATGAGACATTAACATTCTCAAATACACATTAGAAAAGCACTTAGCAATGTTCAGCCAATCAGATCACTCGATTGGCTGAACAATCCTAACCCTATAATTTTGCATATGGGGTGCCTTGCGCATGAATGAAAATAAAGAGAAGGGAGCATGTTATAATGATCCCTGTTTGCTGGAATAAGCAATTCCCCCTGCTCTGCAAAAGGGGCCTGGGGAAGGAGGGAAATAATGGTAATAAAACTGTTTTGTCTCCTTAGTTGTTTTAAAGCATTTAGTTACGTAAGTGTGTGATAAATGTATCGAGAGCCCAGAGTGCATTCAAGTCACAGATTTCCTCCTGTTAATTTCTCAGCATGCACTGAGCACATTCAAGCTTTGCTGTGTCCTTTAGCCAGATGGGCTGCACTTCTCCCAAAGGCTCCTGCTGTTCAGAGACCCCCATGCAGGGCTGTACTGACTGATTCTCTCTGGTACCCAATGGAGAATGGAGTGAATGCAGGCCAGTGTTCACTGCACAACATGAACTTGATACTGCTACTTTGGTGTTTGATGACAAACCTGGGGAGTGCTGCTTGGTTTGCTTTTGTTCAAGATGTTGAACTTCGCTGTTCTATGGCAACATAGCTCAAGAGCAGTCCAGAGGACAGCTAGAAGCACAGTTGGAATCAGTCTGCATAACTTTTACTCATGATCTCCTCTTCCACAAAGGTTTTAGTAATATTGGAAGGGGGTTTGCAAACATCAGGCAGTGAAAGGTCTTAGGACCTTCCTTTATTTTTGTGGGATCTTAAGGAAAAGATCTGTTTTCTGTTTACTCAGTAGCTTATTGAGAGTCCTAGTTTCTTATAGTTAACTGAGATTCCTCTTTAGCTCAAGCCTTACAGGCCAGGCTGTGCAGAACATGAGGTCCTTAGTTTTGAATCTGTTGGAGATTGTAGATATTTAAATCTGGAGTGTCTTCCCTGTCTCCTGCCAACTTGGGTTCTGCATTTTGTGTGAAATCCAACCCCTTTAAAACTCCTTTTCTTTTTTACAGCCACTGCTGCCAGAGTGATTGACAAATTTGATGAAGGCAAAACTGAAGACGACATCCTTGCTGTCGGTAACATACGGAAACAAGCCTTGGCCCCCCTCTGGGAAGCTGATAAGCGGTACAGTGGAAGAGCTACATCTCGCAAAGCCTTGCAGGAAGAACTCTGGGCAGAGCCTCTGCATGAAGCGATATCTGGTGAGCCACTGCATGTCCTTCACCACTAACATAGTAGAAAGGAGTTTTAGGTCCCTGTTGAACCAAGTGCTTTAGTCCCATTGAAGTGCAGAAAGGGAAATCTCCAACACTATGGCTGCCCTGTGGAGATTCAGAGAGGCCAGTGACCAAGTGAGGAGTTCAGAAAAGCTGAGCCAGCTTCAGTGACCTGGCAAGAAATGGAAAGTGAACCATGTGTTGAGCTGCCACTTTTAAATTGACATATCTTGGGGACTAGTTGCTTAGTGTTGAGGTACTACAATTTCTCATTATAAAGATGCATGTAGCAGGGCTTGATCACCTTGTTTGCTTAACATTGTCTCATTATTTAATGTGAAAGTCTGTCAGCTAATCAATGGCTCTGATAATCATTGTTGCTGTGACTGTTACTGCAGAAAAGTGTGAGTAAAGGTTTCAATTTACAGATGTCACCTCATGAACCCATTGGTTAGCCGAAGTAATGGACAAATTTGTGCCCAGGGTTATATGGAAAAGAGACCAGACTGGCTGGACCAAGATAGGAGGCACTGCAGAACAGCAGCCGTAATTTGTAATTCAATACTTTTGTTTGAGTCTTTCCTTTTCTTATTAGTAGATGAAGAGACCTCTCACGAAAGGAACCCCGACAGTGAAGATCCAGGAGAAGAATCTGAAGAAGACAGTAAAGACAGTGAACCTGGTCAGGATGATAAGCTCAGCAGTGACCAGGATGGTGACACAGAAGATGACCAAGAGCGGGAGGAAGAGATCTCTGCTAAGGAACCAAAGTTCAGTTTCCAGAACATTGGTGACTTTGAGAAATTTACAGAGGAGATGGATGATGTGGGTAGCAGTGATGACGAGGATGAAGATGATGTCAGCATAGAAGAGGAAAGTGAAGAGGAGGAATCTGGGGATGAAAATGAGCAGGACACAGAGGATGCAAAAGCAAGTGAAGACGACGGAGCAGTGATGACTTTCTCCAAAGAAGAAGTGGCTGAAGAAGTAGAAAAAGGAAAAGCTGTGAAAAACCAAATAGGTTTGTATATCGAATTTGCTTTGTGTTTTGCTGAGCCTTACACCTTACCTACACTAGAGAAATTGAGCGTGCTAAGGACTGTTTCAGCCTATTAGCATGTGTGCGGCATGCTGTGTGCTTGTGCTATAGTGCTCCTAGCAGTTTACAAATGTTTTACCAACTGTGCTCTGTAGACTATGGCCTTGCCTGTACTATGGAGTTTAACTGTTGCTGGGGATGTTTGCCAGCAGTTGGTTTACTGAGCTTCTTTATGCTACCATTGCAGACAGGAACTTTCAATGCCATATCTGTTGCACAGTGACTCGGATGCTTCAGAAATGTCTGTCCTGGCTTGCTGAACAGGGCAGGAAATGCCAATTTGCTAGCAGCTCATGGACCCTCTCCTCCAAAATGATAGCTTTTGTGTTTACTGAGGATCTAAATGATGGATTGCAATGGTGGCTAAATACCTTCCTTCTTGCCCTTTGTAATAAGCTAGATCTAAAGTGGGTTTAAAAGGCAGTTAAGTGTTTACTCTGCTAGGTCCATCATTAGCTTTTTTTGCCCAGTTGTCCCTTCTAGCCCAGAAACACCATGGTGGTCAAGAAACACTGACTGTCTGCTCCCATCTAGTGGGGATTTTCTTTTTAATACCATAATCTGTTCTTCCCTGCAGCCCACAGCTTTGCTTTCCTGGGCGTGCCAGGCTGTATGGCAGCTGAATTGATACTGGGTGCCATGATCTTGTGGTAACCTGCTGATATATTGTCCTCTCTGGTGCCAGGGCTACCTCCGCTTCAGCGTCTTTAAGAGTTGCATTTTTCTTGCAAATTTTAGCAGAAACCTCAGTGCGTGTCTTTTGTTTGGGAAGCTGAAAGGCTTGTCTCACTAACTTGTAAATCTCCATTTGCAACATGTCCTTTAAATAGGAAAGCAAAACCAAATGACGGATGCTTTCTGATTCAGAGAGTCTATAGGAAGCAAGATCGCAGGAAAGCAAGCAAGTAAGTAAATGCTGTGAAACGTGCAATACAATTTACTGTTTCCTTTGTTACAAAGCTCTGTGGGACCAGCTGTTGGAAGGGAGAATCAAACTGCAGAAGGCGCTCATAACAGCTAACCAGCTTCCACAACCAGACACGTTTCCAGTATTTCAGAAAGAAGGCGGACAAGAGTTTGCCAACGCTGTCAAGAACAGTAAGAATTCTTATGTCTGTTACTTTGGTGTCAGCTAAGCAGACTGTCCCTGCCTGGAGTTCCCTGTTCTCTATTTTGTCATCAACTGTTGTGAAGTAGGGGTGGTGCCTTCCATGTTTCTGTTGGCAAGTTGAAAAATCACTGATGGGGTATGTTTGGAAATGGGAAAGATAGGACCTTGATAGCTCAGGAGCAGTGTTAAGTAGCAACTGTCTCTTGTACTGGCCTTATCAATAGACCCAGGCCCTGGTCAAACACAAAACAAGGTAATTCATGTCCCAAAGAGCCTATGATCAAAGCAATGCTGTACCATCAGTCTTATAAATTAGGTCATGTGCAGTGCTGGTGCTGACTGGTAGTATTACTTATATTAGCCTGAAGAACTCTCAGCTGAGATTACAGCATTGTAGACTTCTGTTACACTACAACAGGGCTGGAAATGTTAGATTGGGGCTAAATGTAGCTCTGTTTTCTATTGAACATTACAGATGATTAGTTATTAGTTCAGGGCATTGTCAGTGTGCTGGAATGGGCATGCTCTAAAGCCTTGTCCACATGAGTGTGGACGTTTGGTTCCCCGGGGACAACTAGCAGTGGGACACCTTATGCTGCCGCTAGTTGTTCTCAGGGAATACCTGTGCCATGTACCTTCTGAGAGGGCATGTGGCATGTTACCCCAGGTGAGGTAGGGGAGGCTGGGGCCAGCACTGGGCTGGCCCCAGCATCCTTACCTGGAGTCCTGGGGGGCCTCCTGGGGCTGCAGCAGCAGCGATCCTGCCATGTGGAGCCTGGCCAGCAACCAGAGCATGGCTCCGGGTGGCCAGGCTCTGGTTTTGAGCAGTGCACACTGCCCCTGCATATGCCACTCTGCTTTTTTTTTTCTGAGAGTTTTTTTGGCCCTGTAGATATCCAGTGTTCAAATCCCCCCCCCCCCATGCTGCTCCCTTGCATTGTGGAAAACACCTAAACATGTAGTATGTGTCACCGCAGATGTCTGTGTCGCCACATACCGCACGGCCACGTTCATCTGGACGCAACCTATGTGATGTGTCTGCTATGCGGGATATCCTGTGAAAAGAAGTTGGCTTGTCTTTGTCTGTCTTGTCTACAACAGGGAAGCATGTGCCAAAAATTCCATGATGGTCGCCAAATATGGAGATTCCCCTTGGCCTGTGTGCAGCATGACACTAGGGTTAAGATCCCCAAGAGAGAGGAAGAGAGCAAATGAGCCTGTGTTGCCAGGTGCCTGCTATCCATGTAGACAGCAAAGATCCCCTTCATCTACTTTTAAGGAATGCTAGTAATTATATTGATCCAGTAAAGCTTCTCTTAGAGAAACCAAATGCAGTAAGTATATACTGCACATTCAGAGCTTACTACCATTGACTTCAGTGTGTTTTAGCTTAGGCCCTTAGTATCTATCCACTGATAAATGGATCTGTTTAACTGTTAGTTAGACATCCTCCATAATGGCATTCAAGTTAAAGTGTAGAAATGTATACATCTAATGTCATCTGCAGCGGTGAATGTGAAAGTGTATTTTTTTCCCTTTTCCTTCTTCGTTGCTTCTATCATACCTAAAATCCATGCAGCTCTCCTATAGAAGATGAGAAAATGTTTTTCTACAAGATATTTTTATGTCCCATTGACCAGAAAGTTGGCTAAAATAATGAACTGCATAGGCTATTCTTCCAGAACTTTGAACAATGAAGATGTGTATCACAGCATTCAAAAGCTCACTGAATGGTTAACTCTTTAACTTGCAGTTCTTTCTCCCTCCTAACTGCTCCAACTCTGGATTTTTCCTGTGCCTCATCTTTTATTCTCCTGGAGGAGTCTATAGAGCAGCTCCAATACATCTTTAGTTTACAGGTGATACCAGAGTGATGCCAACAGGCTTTCCTAGAGCTGTGCACTGAAAACTGGAACAGCAGATCCCAACCATTTCCTTTGGAACTGGTTCTGCATCCAGTCCATACCCTAAGGCAGTGGTTCTCAACCTTTGTATGCTCAAGGTATCCATTGTTAGTAGAGGTGCACTGATACATCAGTCCTATGTCGGATTGGCACTGATATAAGGAAAATTGAAAGTATTGGAAATCAGCTTTTTTGGCTGATGTGGCTGATACATGCACGTGCATGTACGCAGTTGTAGTGCACCATGCAGGTGACCAGGAGCGCAGCCCAGCAGTGTGGAGAGCAGCTAGGTCCAGCTGGTAAGTCCATTATGAGAGAAGGGGCTAAGGGGAAGGGAAGAGGTGTAGGGGGAGCAGATGGAGGCCCCCCCCGCGGTAAGGGAGGGAATGGGGCTGGCCTGGGGCAGGGGCAGGTGCTGCACAGCCAGGGCAGAGAGGGAACAGAGTCACGAGCAGCTCGTCCAGGGGGAAGGGCAGAGGGGTGGCCTCTGCTGCTGCATATACCCCGAGAAGGCATGGAGGGGGCGTGAGCCCCCAGATCTGTGTGCAGGGCGAGCTGCTGCAGGCTGCCACTGGGGTAGTGCCGGGTTCTTCCTGGTGGGGGTGCTGGGCTGGGCTGCGATCGGGGCAGGCAGCAGCAGCACTGGGAGGAGGGGTTGAAGGGTCTATGGTGAAATTTGGGGTGGCTGCAGCCTCCGCATAGCCCGTTCCCAGTGCCACCACCACCTGCCACGAGTGCAGCCTGGCCCAGTCTCTGCCAGAAAGATCCTGGCGCTGGCCCCAGCCCACAGTGGCAGCGCGCCCTGCCCTGTACGCAGATCTGGGGGCACACGCCCGCCCCCCCCCATCCCCTCCTAAAGAGTACGCAGTGGCGGAAGCCACCCTGTCCTGTTCCCCCTGGATGAGCCACTCGCAGCTCCATCCCATGCCTCACACCGGCTGTGCAGCGCCTGCCCCAGCCCCACTCCCTCCCTTAACACGGGGGCCTCAATCTACACCTCCCCACGCCCCTTACCTCCCCGCTCATTCCTTCCCCCGCAACAGACTTACCAGCCGATGCCATGCTGCCGGGCTATATGTTGGAATCGGATCAGTATTGGCCAATATGATGAGTTAAAAATCGGCTATCGGTATCAAACCAAAAAATCTCTATCGGTATACCCCTACTTGACTTGTTAGATTCAAGACCCCCTCAGAAAATGCCAGCTCGTAGTTTTAGTTTGCTTTTTGACTACAAAGAAAATACTAGAGCTATTCTTCTGTTGCAAAGAACCCAGAAAGATCATAACAGGGCAGAATGGTTTTAACCCTAAGGTTTCTATTTGAAATCTCTGGGTTAATCTTGTCAATCAGGTTTGCACACCTAACAGCGCTAACATTGTATGGTGCTTCGTGGCACCCTTGAAAGGATCTCAAAGCACCCCAAGATGACGTGACACTTAGTTGTGAATTGCTGCCATATGGTTTTGCTTTCTAGTGCAGGTTTGTGTGTGTTGTGATAATATCAGAATATCGTGGCAGAATCAGTTCATGAATTTGGTTCATGAGTTTGGTTCAGTTTTTAGCACAGTCAAATCTTAACTGCAGTCCGGCCCTGAGCCAGCCTCTCTCTGTCATTTTACATCTGGTTCTGGTCTCAGCATGTTAAGTTGCTCACCCCATCTCTAGTTATAGCAGGTAAGGCAGTTTATATTGCCAAGTTAGCTCTGCTGCTTTAAATGAAGTGATTAAAGGGGGAAAAAAAGGCAAACTTCCAACAATACTAAGTTGACCTTTTAGTGAAATGCATGTTATTAATGTATTTAATGAGATGCATTACAAACTGCAGCAAGCACCATGTTTCATTATGGGTCTAAAATGCAATATCATTAAAGACCTTTAACAGAAACAATGGTTGACATTTTGATATTTCCCATAAGCAAAATACGCCCAAGATCATGGAGTATAATATAGTATACGTTACAGCAGAGAGGTTATTTTTTTTGCCTGGAAAGTTTAAAGGAAAATCCACTGCTTAGTAACTTGTTCTATGACTTCTTCTCCATGCTTTTTCACAATCTGGCCTGGAAGGCTCACAGTACCATAAACCAACATGCCTGTGGTCCTTAGTTTGAGTTTTTTCTGTATTTTAGGTATGAAAACAACAGGGAAGGAGAGACCTTTGGTTCTACAGACTATAGCTGGGACTAACAGGATGATGTCAGTTCAAGGAAAAGTTTTTAGGTGGAATGTCAATCAAAGCTTACTGGCAAGGATGTTACTGAGATCAAGGCTCTTACATGGTTAACAAGGTTTAATGTTAACAGATTTTGGAAGTGTTGTAAAATCTCCGACCTAAGGGCTTAAACTAATCTGTAACTATTGGAATGATACTGCTAGAGACCTAGTTGGAGTTCGGGTTCCTTGTTCCTATCTTTATTCGGTTGTTGAATGATCTCTGAACAGAAGAACTGAAGTTTTTATCACTTGGATTCCTAAAAGGTAGCCTGAAAATGTCTGAGGAACAGCCAGGTACATGTCTTGATTGTTTCTGTTTCTAAGGAATTCTGTCAATGGGTAAAACCTGGAGCATGACCAACAGATCTGGTGTGTTGTGTTGCTTGTTGATGTGCCTATGGCCAAGATTTATGTCATGTTTGTCTTTCTAATTTTCTCAGGGCAGGAATTTGATCTATGTTGGTAAAGCAGCCTCTGTATTTCTGGTGCCATAGAAATGATTTTTAACAAAAATGAGGTCAGGAACTTCTTTATGAAATATAACCTCTTGTATATTGTGTTTTAATACCCTTAAAAGGACAGAGTATAAGTTCCCTTTCTTTTGTTGTCATTGACAGTTCTTACAGCCTAGTTTACAATACATTCAGTTTTAATGAGGGCCACAATTTTGGCTGATGAATCTTGCTAATGTCTTTCATTGATGTGCAGAGCTGCTTCTGCCAAAATGTATGACATCAGAAGTATAGAACATGGGGTGTTTAGATCAGATGAGCTTTTTGATCCTGGAGGATTTCACAAAAGGATACAAAGAGCTTTCTGTATTAGGTAGAGGTGCACAAATGTATTGGTCACATATCAGATCGACTC